ATTATCAAGTAAATTTCTCGGACACACATATATCTATCCCTTTCAATAGTCATACTGATTTCCACGGTATCGATATTAAAACTGCTTGTTGTTTTAATACTATTATTTAATATTTGGTGATTATTTAAAGTGCACTGACATAACGAATGAAAAATAATTAAATATGAAAGTGCGTGCAACAAGCACTTTTCTTGATCAAATTGAACTGTAAGCAAGTCAAATATCACACTCATATTGGATACAAACTTTAAATGTCGATGTTTCGGTTACATTTTAAATTAAGTTGAAGTGTTTTTTACCATTTTTATTATCTTTTTACAAGGGCCTATTATATTACATTCTTGTATTAACACTTCTTGTCTTCGAGAGCTGTAAAATAAGTTAAAAATTTTAATCTAAAATTTAAATTTAAACTTTTTAAATATAATGGATGTGTTAAACAATGTAACTTCTATTAATCTTGTAGAAATATGAAAATTTACAAAAAAAAAATTATGGATACTTTTTTTTGCGATTAATAAGCTGACGAAAAAAAAATTTGCCAATATACGGTTTTAAAGCGCATAAGATTTTATTCAAATACATTAAGTCTAATTAAGTAAAGAATATTCCTAAATGATGCTTTTAATAAATATTTATCATCCTTTTTACGCATAGAACTACACATTTGTGATTGAGATTTTTTTTTGCTGAGTTTTGTTGAAAAGAATTTGTTTAAAATCTGGTGTATCATTATCAGGGACATAAATTAAATAAATATCATAATTGAGAGTCTTGAGAAGAAAGCCTTCAGAAACTATATTAGGCTTCACCGTTTAAATGTGAATATATATTTTAAAAAAAAGGTTCCTCAAAATTTCAGTATTGAAAAATACATAAAATAAATGAAGAAATGATTTACATTACATATGATTTATTTTTATTATTATGTGTCTTTTATTGATTGCTTTAAGAAAAGTTTTCATCTTCAAGGTTTAAGGAAATTTAAATGGTTTTTCTACATAACATATATCTCAGTCAGGCATATGCCTTGAATATATGTTCAAGTACAAAAATATAAAATCATGAAATATTATTTCAGTATTTTAGAAAAATTAAAAGTAATTAATTCCAGGTCCATCTGTCTGAAAAATACCACATAACCACTAAAGAATGACTTTCCAGAAACTAAAAATTCCTCTTTGACCATATTTCATATTTGTGTAAAATACTTTAATAAATACAATGTCATGAGAGAACTTAATAAAAAATATAAGTTTTCGCATAGTTAATTACTGCTGCTCGAAGATTTTCATTTCTCTTCACTTATTTAAATTTTTTTAACTGAGTAGTTGAATTTTATGACTGTATGGATTCATCAATAAAGAATATTCTAGAAAGAAATGCAAAGAACCATTTATAATGTCATATGTTTGGTTCATGAAGTACAAACTTTTTACAAGCCTAGCAGATAGAACAATTTACACTTTTTAATTACCATCTAATATATCTATTAAAAAAAATTTATTTTCACAAAATGCATCATTTTTTATTTTAAACTTCGTTTCAACTTTAAACTTTGTTTTGTTTCAATATGAGAGCAAAAGTGGAGTTCTCATACTTAATATGCAAAGAAAACGCATGAAAGCTAAATTAATATTTAATTTTTTTAGTTCTTATACTTTTTTCATTTTATAATAAATAAATGGCTTAAAATAAAATACTATTTTTATATTCAAATATAGTACTATTAGGCCCCATAACTATTAAAAGTCCCATGCAATTTTTTCGAAATAGTTGACCTTATAACTACTTAACTTTAATTCCGAGAGTGACTGTCTACTTCAACTTTTAAAATTTCAATTGTAGGCCTAATTGTTTAACACATCCTTAAAAAAATTGATTTTTAAGATAAGCAGTAAAAAAAATTTATTGCATTGATTTTTTAAATAGTTTTTACTAATCTTATAATATTTTTTGCAACCTAAAAGCTATAACCGTTTTCTTACGCGTAACTTTTTTTAATACCGTGATTAGTATTTTACTTTAATATACTGTGCTACTGTTGTCCACGTCACGAAGTCTGGAGAATAGGTGTTTATTTTTAAGCTCTCGAAAACTGTCAAGTTTTATTGCCATTCTTTGTTTGAAGCAAATATTCCATGCGCTCTAAAATAGGGGCCCATTCTCAAGATTCGGCAGACGTGAATAAGGAAAACAAAAATAACCTGAAAAATACAGGAAAGTATCTTAAGAGAAAATAAAAGTGAAAAACAAAATTAGAAAAATCGCAGTAGCCGAGAGTGAAACAGAGAACGAGTAACTAGACCAACCTGGGCTACATC